TTCGAAATTTCAAAACAAAAATAGGACTTTTCAAACTCCCATTTATTTTCAAAATAAGTTAACTCTGAAACCCCCTAGTATTATCATAAAGAAATAAAAAAAAAAGAAAGCTTAAAAGTTTAAATGTAAAATTTAAAATAAATGTCTTAAATAAAATATTATAAATCTTTTTGTCTTTATAATTTATATAATTTATTTACTTTTAAAGCTAAATTGCTAAAGTGGTTTTACAAAAAAAGACTCATGCTTTGAAATTGAAGATCATTAATAAAAGATTGATTTCTAATTTCTGACATCTTTTATACAGTATGATGTTAAAAAAAATTAGAAATTATCCAATAATCAAATCAAATGATTTATTAATTAGCAAATTTTACAATTTTTATACAAACTGCAATAACATAATTAATCCCAAATCCCAATCCAACACGATTTTATTAACTTTGCTAATAAGAATGTATGTAGCTAATACTTTTTTTTTAATTTTCTTTTGCTTATAGTCTTTATCTGATGATAATTTATTCTTATAATAGAACACATTGTAAATTTTGTTAATATGAGAACTAGTATAGAAAAATGACATGCTTGGAATTCTCCGATTGATTAATAATATCATTCCCCTAATTAATTATTTATACCCTAAAAAATTTTTACACCTATTATTTGAAAAAATTCTTTAGGGTGTAGATGACATGACGTTATTAATAAATTGGAGAATTCCATAATTCTTTTCTAGATCAGTTCTCATATACTTTGGTTCTCTTAGTAAGTAGTAGTTAAACTTTTGTATAAAAAAAAAATAGAAAAATAAAAGAGATGTAAAGAATTTAATAATTATTTTGAGAGATATTTGCTGATATTAGATTTTCAAAACTGCGTTATAACACTATTTTTTACACAATAAATGAGCGCAGCATGAATGCGACCAACGTAGGTAGCTGTCCCACAAAAAATTGGTCACCCTGTAATTTTGACCAATCAAAATTTGATCAGATACAACATGATGGTCAAAACAAACATGTTGTTTTCTAAGTAAAAAGTTGTGTATAAAACTAAAGCTGCGTTATGGTTATTGTTAGGGTGAGAACAGCATAGGTTTAGAGTTGTTTTATTAGTAAAATTTCATTTTAATTAGGCCGCAGAAGGTGGTTTCCTAATTAAAGTTTAAAGCTATTTTTAAAAAAATAGTCTGCTTCAATTTTTACATTACACCTGATCCTAAATTCAATTAGCCAATATTATAGGGGTGAACAATTTTTTGTGGGACAGCTAGGGGCTTTAACGTGACCTGGCTGCAGACACGTAACCAGAAGATCGTTGCCAAAAACGTGATACAAACTATCGATCGCTATAAGCCTACATATGCGTATTAAACAAGGTAAAGCTCTATTAAGTATAATAGGAAGGCACCTGGATTCAAATGGTGGGAAATAAAGTCATAGTCAGGTAATGAGTATGAATTACTTATCATAAAATAAAGTCAGTCAAGTAATGAATATGAATTATTTATCATAAGTCATAACATACTATATGTACGTACAACATTACAGTATCGGTATTTAAAGCACTAATACTTATAGTTGTATGTAGTATATTAGTCTATTACGTACTCTTTTAAAATAATAACGCTTCCAAATGAATGTTTTTATCAAATATTTATTAACCTTAGGATTTATCCTAGATGCTTATTTTCATACCTTCTCGTAAACCATCAATAGTGTAGAATTGTTGTGCCAATATTATGGAGTGAACTATCTATTCATTTGAGAAATAAACAATTAATCAAAATGTTTATTTTATCATTGAATGCCGAAGAACAAGCTCAATTAATTCCACTTAAAATAATTCTTCCAAATGATCAAAAACCATTATTCAATTATACAACTTATATAACATTAATCGAATATACAACTAACCCATTATGAACTAAAAGAAATTTAACTGTCAGAATAACAAATTGGCTAAAACATGAAGGATTTGTAGAAATTGATCAAATTAGAATTGTCTTAAATATGTTAGTTCGACAAGTTAAACGTTTTTAATTGAAATGTTTCTAAGAACTTGCAAGAATCTTAAATATCTAGATCTTCCTGGAAACACCACCGATTCAATTGACTTTGAAGATGCAAAATTATTAGTAAAAAATCAAATTTTAACATCTTTAAATCTCGCAAGTAATTGTTTCAGTTCTACTGAAGGAAAAATACTAGTTGAGGTTCTTTACAAGAACATCACTCTGACCTCTTTAGATATTTCTAATAATTATATTGGTCCAGAAGGTGGTAAAACATTAGCAGAAGTTCTTTGTGAAAATACCTCTTTGATCTCATTAAATATTGCAAATAATAGCCTTGGCTTTGAAGGTGGAAAGGTATTAGCAAAAGCTCTTTGCAAAAACTCTACTCTAACCTCTTTAAACATTGCTTATAATGGACTTTGTCTTGAAGGTGGAAAAGCATTTGCCAAAGTTCTTTGTAAAAATACTACTCTAAGTTCTTTAAATATTAAATCAAATTATCTCAGATCTTATGACAAATTATTAGTAGAGGCTTTTTATAAAAATACCACTTTAACTTCCTTAAATATTCGTAATAATCGTTTTAATGGTATAAAACCTTTAACATTAATAGAAGCAATTTCCAAAAATAGCTTTTTATTATCTTTAGATTTAAGTCTTAATTTATTTGATTACGAAATAAAAAAGTTATTAATAGAGAAACTTCACATAAATACCACTTTAACTTGTCTGAAGCTTGAAGGCATCTACATGAACTGTGATGCAGAAAAATTATTAGCGGAGGCTCTTTGTAAGAATACAACTTTAAGATCATTAAATCTTGATAAAAATTACCTTAATCCTGAAGGAGGAAAAGCAATAGGAGAAGCACTTTGCAAAAACACTACTTTGGTCTCTTTAAATATTGCTAATAATCAAATTGGTCGTAAAGGTGGAAAAGTATTCGCAAAAGTTCTTTGAAACAATACTACTTTAAGAAACTTAAATCTTCGTAATAATAAACTTAGTAGTAAAGGTGAAATATTATTAACAGAAGTGCTTCACAAAAATAACTCTTTATTATCTTTAGATCTTAGTATTAATCAACTTGGTCCTAGAGAAGGAAAGGCATTGGCAAAGGCTCTTCGTAACAATACCTCTTTAACTTCTTTAAATCTCTTGGGTAATTACCTTGGTCATGAAGGAAGAAAATCTTTGGCAGAAGTTCTTTGTAAAAACATCATTATGACCTCTTTAACATTTAAAAGTGATGACATTGACTCTGAAGAAAAATTGGCATTAGAAAAAATTCTTTGTAAAAACATAACCTTGACTTCTTTTGTAATTTAATTTATTATCTAATTCCACACAGAAGATAAATTATTAGAAAAGTCATAATTGCGAATGCTATATTTATTTATTAATTCTTTAATAAACTTTGAAAAAATTAAAGCAGCACTGTTTATGCTAATTTTAGTTAAAATGATTTTAAACTTACAAAAAAATAAAGCTCATTTTAAAAAACTCTTTTGATATTTGCAACCTAGAGTTTATGTATAATAGTAATAACTAGGTTTAAATTTCAACAATTATTGTGGTGGCTGATGCTGAAATTGGCTAATGCTGAAAATTTTTTATATTTTATTATAAATTTTTTTTTTTTATTTCATAGTTAAGTTAGGGTTTGGAAGTAGTATTTATTAATAAAAAACTATATGTGAATTTTAGTAGAGTTTATAGATTTGAAAAGGGACCCCAATTTTTAGCATCAGCCAATTTCAGCATCAGCTCCCACAATTATTAATAAAAATATGATCTTGATCCTTTTAAAATTATTGCATTATCAAAAATGATGTTTTTTATCAATAAATGCTGAATAGCAACAACTTTAATTTTATTTAAATTACTATTCAAATATACAACTTATTGGTTTAATTACTAATAGCTTTTTCTATTAATGCGAAAATTCAAATATTTATTCTTTAGTTGAAATACTTTTACAAATGATAAATATAATTTAAATATCTGTTAAAAGTGTTGATGATAAATTTGGGATTGAAAAGTTGGCAGAAGCCTTTTATTGAAATTCATCTTATTTCACTTTTTGAAATTAGTGTTAAAAAATAAAAAAAATTGCGGGATTCAATAGATGAAAAATGCAACTCCCATGCCTTAATCTAGTCTTTTTAGATTATTAATTACTGATATTAGTTACTCTTAATATAATTCCTGGTTGGTACTATTAAATGAACTAAAATAAATTGTAGTTTACAATTTTATAAATAATTTAAACCCGAAGATGTATATTTGACTTTAAAGCTTTAGGTTTCAAAAAGTTTAGTGTTAAATGAAATATACAAATATTACATGAGTTTGGTTAATATTTATCAGCACAGAAGAATAAAAATATTTTTCAATCTAGATCATGCAAAATTTCTACTATTAAAAGATATTCTATTTCGCTAGAATTTTCAAAATGTTTTATCTCTATTTTGACCATTCTATTTACTTTTGTAAAAGATAAAGTGTCTTTTGGAAATCAATAATTTTAGCAATATTTGAAGGACTAGTTTCAATCTTGTCTAAGGATTTTATATGATTAAAAAGTATGTACAATGAAAATTAATAAAATAATTTTCTTTACCTGATTTATATATTCAAATATTCTCCAAATCTCTTTCAATGAATTTATTCTCTCTTGATTCTTTACCTTTATCAATTCTCTATTATTTTCATTTTATTGAATTAAATCGAAATTATTACAGAGGTTATTTATGTTATCATGTAAGCATTTCCTTTCCTTTTCATTTAAAAGGAGAGGTGGCACATCACACATAAGGGAAAGACCAGTAAAAACTAAACATAAAGATTAATTTTGGGTAGCTTTTGGAAGTCTAAGAGTAGCAAATATTTTCTAGGGTCTTTTTTTACTACTGTATTTAGTAACTGGGAGTAAATTATTGATTTCAATAAAGTATTGTACTTCTTGTTTACTCCCATGAGCATTATTTCAAAATTGCACTATACTTGAAAATAGCATTCATGGCTTAGAAATGCCACTCACCCATGCACAGATGGAAGTTATTACATGAAGAAATTTAAAATTCACACTTTGAGATTAAGTATCATATTTTTGAGTAATAACACACACCTACAGGACGCTTATGAGTCATAAATTTTATTTTTCAGGTATACAGTACAATTATGAAATAATGCTCATGAGTGTAAACAGGTAGTATATTAAAAACAATATTTTCTAAATTATTAGCATCAAAAAAATGTACAGTAAATGCTTTATAATTTAGGAAATATCGATATTTGCTAATTTTCTATACTTTGTCTCTATCACTATAGGAAGTGATTGTGGTTTTTAAATTTCTTCACCATATGTACAACTATACATATTACAAAAATATATACTGCTATGTGTAAATTTGTTATATTGTATTAAATTTTATATATCAGGTTATATATAACCACACTAATAAATAATGGATTGCTTTTCCAGCCTGATAGGTCTGCCATGACAATAGTAGGATGTTGTCCTTCAAAAGTGACACCAGATTCCAAATTTCCAAAATTTCCTTTAGCTTTCCAAATTTAAATGAGCATAAACCAACTCTCAAATATTTCTAAAACTAATAACTTTAGTCAAGCTTTCTCTTCTTGATATTCTCAATGAATACTAGGAAATCAGATAAAATTTCAAAGCAAAAAATCTTCAATAACTAAATATTTGAACCTTGTATTTGATAACTTCGATTTTATTTAATTATATATATAAATACTAAGTGTTGTTTTAAAGGGCTATACTATGTATGCATATATATGTATCGTCTTTAATTCAGTAATGCTACAACAAACAGCATAATACTTTTAAAATACTAGTGTAACAGGTGGCGTGAAGCACCACCCCACCTCTTTATTGTTGTGATATATAGTATAAATTGAAATTATCTGTAAAAAATCGTGTTTCTATTATGCATTAATATAATAAATAAATTATTACAAAACTTATCAACACATATTATGTAGTTAGGATTGTTTAGTTTGTACTGGAATTAGCATGAACTCTATCATATACTACTATAAAAAATACTATTATAGAACTTGTTATTCTGTTAATATACAGAATTGTTAAAGTTAGGTTTGTATCAAAATTTTCATAATTTCAATTTGGAGTTACTATAAAAAATTCTAGTAAGTACAAAACTTATGTGATTGA